TTTGCCTCTCAGGTAAGTACCCACTGACACCATTGATCTTTTTAGCAATCTGTAAGGGGGTAATTCTTCCCAATGACCACAAGTGAAAGGAGTATTCTTACCTCTGACTATCATACTAATGTATCATGAATTGTAGATAAAGTTATTTTAGCAGGGGTTCGCCGAGACCGGAAAGTAACGTCAAGGGTTCCTCTGCATTGAAAACGTTGAGAAAGGCTGTTCTAGATAATTGCCACAGTGCATTAAACAAAAACAAAACTAAATGTTGGATTTTAGGTGGATACTCTCCTAAATCTGTGGTAACGTGACATGCTGAATCCCTTCTCTTTTGTGGACTGCAAATTGGGAAGGTTCTATTTCAGTTGCCCACTTTGCTGCCTGGTGACATGGATATTTTGGCTGTCCAACAGTGAGGTCCATATAGGCTCCATGAGACTGCAGCAGCATATGAATTCACAAAAAACAGACAATATTAATATTGGACACTGGCAGACCTGGACTGCAGCAGTGGACCACTACTCCCTACTTTCAGAAGAAGTGTTGTGGACAGTCACATGACAACAGACTCAAGCAAGGAATTAATGGCTTTGGAAATTTTATTATTTCTAAAATGAGCAACTGCAAAGCTGGTAGAAGTAATGGGGAGAGAGGGAGGGATTTTCCAGGGAATGGTCTTTAAGTAAAAGAGTTAACAATATAACTGGTTGGCCTTTTTTTTATAAAAGGTGAGAACCTTAAATGTTAAGCTGGCCTGTTTGATAGGGTAGATGTAAAATGTGATCGAAAGACCTATCTATCCTTAAATCTCACTACTCCAGTGCCAACCTTATTAATCAATAATAAGGTTCGGAGTAGGGAAAAGAGCACCAGTCATTTGAAAAAATTAAAAAGTATTGAAAATATGTGCACAGAAGTCTGATTTGTTGTGTTGCCTAGGGCACCACACAAATGAAATACACCACTGATGTCGCACCAATTCAGCATAATCCATGATGGAAGAAATGGGGAAAGGAAAAAGTATGAAAAGAAAATAGAATGTGGAGAAGGTAAAAGGAGAAAAAGAAGATAAAGAAGACTAGGCTCATAAGGACAAAGCTGGCTTCTAATGTGGCAGTATTAGTTTAATAAGGCACTAGTGAGTGCTCCATAGAGCCAAATTTTGCGAATTTCATCTAAATACATAATTAGGTTCATCAAACAAACATATTGAATATGAATAAAAAGATCTGTATTGCTAGGCATAGCACTAGACCTACAGTGGAGGTACTGGTCAGCATATGATTATTTGATGCTTTTTTTGGTTTTAAATTATTCTATAGGAATAAGTCCTATTACGGACTGGAGAAGTAGGTTTAGAATCAAAGCCTCCTAAAATAATTTTAGAACTTTTCAAAACATGATTTTAGAACATTGCCAAAATGGAAATAGGTGCTATGTAGAAGGTCACATCTCTTGCAATGAGTAGGGAATTTTGGCTGCAGTTTATGGAGTAAGGTACCAATATGTTATTACTTTACATACAGTATATGTTTTTTTTGTATAGAGAGAAGATTGATGTTCCACTCACATTAAACTTGACTGATTCCCATTGTTACGTGATTACCGCCTGCTTCTGTTTGAGCACATAACTGTTCATGTTTTCTTGGATTTACAGTTTAAAGGAGAAGTATGTTCCGCACTTGTGTGACCGATTCAGCTGACAGCGGGCTAAAGCATGCTGTTGGGTGACGACAGAGGCGGTCCAGGTTCTGCAGGGATTGTGGCATGATGTCAGAATCTCTCCAGATTTCAGACCACTACCATGCCCTCCACAGTATGGAACTCCAGTGAGCGCTGGAAGAGCAGAGCACAACCTGTTGACTGACAGTCACTGCACTCTGCTCAGAGCAGACCTGAGAACTCAGCAATCATCAGTCTTTGGCTCCTCAGTTCTCGCTGTAGAGCCAGCAGGGGAAAGCTGCAGCATCAGATCAATGCTGCAGCCATTCAGATGAGTATATATGTTTGTTTTTTTTTTCTTTCCCACTCCTCTCTTTTAAGTGGAACTCTAACCTCCCTTCCCAATTTTTTTTCCAGTTTTTGGTAGGGAGAAGGGATAAATCCTCTTTCTGAAATTTTTTGCTCCCTGCATCACTTTATAATAATAATGCATATGGATGATGGCAGGCACTGCATTTATTTGAATAAAAAAAAATCTAAGTACCTTTTTTCATATAGATACACAGCTGTCATGTGACCTAGCTTTTTCCCAGTCTGTCCACTGGGAAACATCAGCGGGAGGAGCTCCAGTAACATCTCTAAAATATATATATATATATAGTAAAAATAGGTATGTATATATATATATATATATATATATATATATAAAGCTAGGGGGAGGTACTGCCAATAACAGCCTGCTCCATGTGCCATCCAGCCTGTGTCTATTGTGTATATGTGCTCAGAATAACAGGCAGGTGAAGCCTCCATCAATGTAATATCCTTCCCTCATAGTGTTTAGCTGTTTAGTGAGCATGGAGGAGGAGGGAGTGGGCTATCATTTGTCTAGTGTGTATATGCCACATGTATGACTCTTTAGTCATATGGGCTGCAAAGATAATTAAAAAGAGGATATGAATAGCTTAGAAGGGAACTGAAACTGGAACACAGGGCGGTCGGTGAAACGGGCTGCGGGGGGACACCACGGGATCGAGGGACAGGTAAGTGTCCGTTTTTACAGTGTTTGTAGCTGCTGACTTTTATTTTTTTCATTGTCACTGGAACTCTGATTTAAGGGTCTCCTTTACACAGTGTCTAAAAATAATTGAGTAATTTTAGCTGGATGATCAATGACTATGATATGTCCGAGTCATGAGATTGGTAACTTTTTCCAGGCTGAAAGTGTCCAGACTTTGAGTGAAAATTTACATGATCTTGTTTGCTATATGAAGCTATATGAAGGTGTAATTTGGAATAATTTGAGTGAATATTCCTTCTAGACACATAAAACAGTGCACTGACTTAGTTTTTTTTAAATAACCAGTGGTGTAAGTTTGGTAGCAAGGATAAAAGGGTGAGTTAGTGTAAAGAATATGTTTTATGCAAATAAAGCTAGCTTTAAGGCCCTTTGCTAAACTTTAACTTTTTCAATATCATGAATGAATATCATCAATAACATGGTTGTGAGCACAGAATGGTTCAGTGCATTAAATAAAGAACAGAGGGGCACCCCTGCCTATTTTCAGTTGAACATGGATGACATTAGAATGATGTCTGCTGAAGTGGATCTTTAGAATACATTTTTGTGCTGATAAAGTGGACCTTTGTATTGTCAAAATAACAGAAAGGGCCCAGATTAGGCAGTAGACTGTCCTTTGCTTTTTGGGAGGCTGATTGCTGGAGCCTTATCTGTTTTTTAACCACATGTAAAAAGGTTGACAGTACATTCTTTAACAATCAAAAGGCCATGAAACTCACCTGATCCATGTGAATACATTTTAGCAGCACATTCCTAGTTTGAGGTATGAAAATTTGGCAAAAATCTTTTGCTATAAATTAGGAAAGAGTGATTGGCCTAAAGGATTAAATGTCAGTAGGTCTTTATGGATGTTAAACACGGGTGCTGTGCACTTACAGGTGAAACTCAAAAAAATTAGAATATCGTGCAAAAGTTCATTTATTTCAGTAATGCAACTTAAAAGGTGAAACTAATATATGAAATAGACTCATTACATGCAAAGCAAGATAGTTCAAGCCGTGATTTGTCATACATGTGATGATTATGGCTTACAGCTCATGAAAACCCCAAATCCACAATCTCAGAAAATTAGAATATTGTGAAAAGGTGCAATATTCTAGGCTCAAAGTGTCCCACTCTAATCAGCTAATTAAACCATAACACCTGCAAAGGGTTCCTGAGCCTTTAAATGGTCTCTCAGTCTGGTTCAGTAGGAATCACAATCAAGGGAAAGACTGCTGACCTAACAGTTGTGCAGAAAACCATCATTGACACCCTCCATAAGGAGGTAAAGCCTCAAAAGGTAATTGCAAAAGAAGTTGGGTGTTCCCAAAGTGCTGTATCAAATAGAAAGTTACGTGGAAGGGAAAAGTGTGGAAGAAAAAGGTGCCCAAGCAGCAGGGATGACCGCAGCCTGGAGAGGATTGTCAGGAAAAGGCCATTCAAAAGTGTTGGGGACTTTCACAAGGAGTGGACTGAGGCTGGAGTCAGTGTATCAAGAACAAACACACACAGACGGATCCTGAACATGGGCTTCAAATGTTGTATTCCTCTTGTCAAGCCGCTCCTGAACAACAAACAACATCAGAAGCGTCTTACCTGGGCTAAAGAAATACAGACCTGGTCTGTTGCTCAGTGGTCCAAAGTCCTCTTTTCTGATGAGAGCAACTTTTGCATCTCATTTGAAAACTAAGGACCCAGAGTATGGAGGAAGAATGGAGAGGCACACTGTCAGGAATGGACTTGCCAATAATGGTGGGACTTACCTGCCTTGTGGGCTGCAGTACCAGGGCTGGCCAGCGGGTGCTCTCAGCAATCAGAGACTCACCCCTGCAGTCAGCCAAACACCTGAAGCTGATTGCAGGGGTTGTATTTAAGGAATGGCCAGACTCACAGTCAGGGCCTTGGTGTGTGTTTTTCCATGGCCCCTGTATCTTGTATCTTGTGTTCCTGTTCCTGCCTGACTTGTTGCCGACCCTGCCTGATCCTGACCTCTGCTGACTTCTCCTGTTTGATCCCTGGCTTGTGACCCTGACCACTCTCTGCCTGACCCTCTGCACCGAGCTGCCCGTGAGTTACTGAACCCAGCTTGTGACCCCGACCACTCTCCCGCCTGTTCCTGGTACTCCGTTTGCCCGTTTGCTACTGACCCGGCCTTCTGACAACTCTTGCATTGTATGTATTGTTATCTGTAGGTGGTTTGGTTTGTTTGCACTGTGTTTGTTTAGTTTTGCACTGCGTTTTGTATTGTTAGTCTTAATAAATCATATTGTTTATACCATATCTGAAGCGCTGTCGAGCCAGACGATCCAATGCCTGATGACCCAGTGCCCGCTGTCATACCTGGTGACCCAATGCCAGCTGCCGAGCCAGATGACCCGGTGTCCGCTGTCATACCTGGTGACCCGATGCCCGCTGTCGTGCCAGTTATTTATTTATTTATTATTTATTTATCGAGTTTATATAGCGCCAAAGGGTTTGCTCAGCGCTGTACAATAGAGGGGGGACAATACATGAAACAGTACAGTAACATCAAACAGCACACAAGGGGTAAGAGGGCCCTACTCTTTCGAGCTTACAATCTAGGAGGGAGGGGGTAGAGGTACAGGAGGAAACGGCTGTGGGGGATGGAGTGGTAGGAGGAGGGAAGGGCAGCGGCTGTTAGGTGAGGGTGGGGTAGGCTTCCCTGAAGAGGTGGGTTTTCAGGGAGCGCCTGAAGGTGAGGAGGGAAGGTGACAGTCTGATGGATTGGGGTAGTGAGTTCCAGAGGATGGGGGAGGACCTGGAGAAGTCTTGCAGTCGTGCGTGGGAGGAGGAGACCAGGGAGCAAGATAGAAGGAGGTCCTGTGAAGAGCGAAGGGTACGGGTAGGGTGGTACTTGGGAATCAGGTCGGTGAGGTAGTTAGGGGCAGTGTTGTGAATGGCTTTATAGGTCAGAGTGAGCAGTTTGAATTTAATGCGTTGGGCAATGGGGAGCCAGTGGAGGGAGAGGCAGAGGGGGGTGGCAGAGGTGGAGCGGCTGGTGAGGTGGATGAGTCTGGCAGCTGAGTTCAGGATGGTCTGAAGCGGGGAGAGTTTGCACTGGGGTAGGCCGATGAGGAGGGAGTTGCAGTAGTCAAGGCGTGAGATAATCAGGGAGTGAACGAGTAGTTTAGTGGTGTCTGGGGTAAGGAAGGAGCGTATTTTGGCGATGTTGCGAAGGTTGACTCAAAGCCCGCTGTCGTGCCTGGTGACTCGGTGCCCACTGCCTTGCCAGATGACTCGGTGCCCGCTGTCGAGCCAGATGACCTGATGCCTGGTGACCCGATGCCCGCTGTCGAGCCAGACGATCCAATGCCTGATGACCCAGTGCCCGCTATCATGCCTGGTGACCCGATGCCCGCTGTCGTTCCAGTTGAGTCAGAGCCAGCTGTCATGCCTGGTGACTCGGTGCCCACTGCCTTGCCAGATGACTCGGTGCCCGCTGTCGAGCCAGATGACCTGATGCCTGGTGACCCGATGCCCGCCGGTTGACTCAAAGCTCGCTGTCGTGCCTGATGACTCGGGGCCCGCGGTCTTGCCAGATGACTCGGTGCCCGCGGTCTTGCCGGATGGCTCGGTGCCCGCCACTCCGCCTGGGGGCCCGGTGCCCGCCGCCCCGCCTGGGGGCCCGGTGCCCACCGCCCCGCCTGGTGGCCCGGTGCCCGCCGCCCCGCCTGGGGGCCCGGTGCCCGCCGCTCCGCCTGGTGGCCCGGTGCCCGCCGCCCCGCCTGGGGGCCCGGTGCCCGCCGCCCCGCCTGGTGGCCCGGTGCCCGCCGCCCCGCCTGGGGGCCCGGTGCCCGCCGCCCCGCCTGGGGGCCCGGTGCCCGCCGCCCTGCCTGGTGGGCCGGTGCCCACCGCTCCGCCTGGTGGCTCGGTGCCCGCCGCCCCACCTGGGGGCCTGGTGCTGCAGTACCAGGGCTGGCCAGCGGGTGCTCTCAGCAATCAGAGACTCACCCCTGCAGTCAGCCAAACACCTGAAGCTGATTGCAGGGGTTGTATTTAAGGAATGGCCAGACTCACAGTCAGGGCCTTGGTGTGTGTTTTTCCATGGGCCCCTGTATCTTGTATCCTGTGTTCCTGTTCCTGTTTCTGCCTGACTTGTTGCCGACCCTGCCTGATCCTGACCTCTGCTGACTTCTCCTGTTTGATCCCTGGCTTGTGACCCTGACCATTCTCTGCCTGACCCTCTGCACCGCGCTGCCCGTGAGTTACTGAACCCAGCTTGTGACCCCGACCACTCTCCCGCCTGTTCCTGGTACTCCGTTTGCCCGTTTGCTACTGACCCGGCCTTCCTGACGACTCTTGCATTATATGTATTGTTATCTGTAGGTGGTTTGGTTTGTTTGCACTGTGTTTATGTTTAGTTTTGCACTGCGTTTTGTATTGTTAGTCTTAATAAATCATATTGTTTATACCATATCTGAAGCCTGCGTTTCCCTGTGTCAGTCCACACACCTCTGGTCATACCCGGAGCCCTGACACACACACTGCAAGATGCTTGAAGTCCGGTGTGAAGTTTCCACAGTCTGTGTTGATTTGGGGAGGTATGTCATCTGCTGGTGTTGGTCCACTGTGCTTCATTAAGTCCAGGGTCAACGCAGCCATCTACCAGGAGATTTTGGAGCACTTCATGCTTCCTTCCACAGACGAACTTTATGGGGATGCTGACTTCATTTTCCAGCAGGACTTGGCACCTGCCCACACTGCCAAAAGCACCAAAACCTGGTTCAATGACCGTGGGATTACTGTGTTTGATTGGCCAGCAAACTCGACAGACCTGAACCCCATAGAGAATCTATGGAGCATTGCCAAGAGAAAGATGAGAGACATGAGACTGAGCAATGCAGAATAGCTGAAAGCCGCTATTGAAGCATCCTGGTCTTCCTTAACACCTCAGCAGTGCCACAGGCTAATAGCTTCCATGCCACACCGCACTGAGGCAGTAATTGCTGTAAAAGGGGCCCAAACCAAGTACTGAGTACATATGCATGCTTATACTTTTCAGAGGTCCGATATTGTTCTATGTACAATCCTTGTTTTATTGATTGCATGTAATATTCTAATTTTCTGAGATTGTGGATTTGGGGGTTTTCATGAGCTGTAAGCCATAATCATCACAATTATGACAAATCACAGCTTGAACTATCTTGCTTTGCATGTAATGAGTCTATCTCATATATTAGTTTCACCTTTTAAGTTGCATTACTGAAATAAATTAACTTTTGCACGATATTCTAATTTTTCGAGTTTCACCTGTACATATTTAATTCAATTGGTTTCCAATAAAATGGTGGGCACTGTACACTTATATATTTAGTTTGAATGAATATATACTCATTTTTTTGGTTTGTTAATATTCCCCTTTTCTGTAATAATGCCACATAATTCAATTGGTCTCCAAGAAAATGGCGGATGCTGTGTATTTATATATTTAGTTTTGAACTCACATATTGTGGGTCCCTCACATATGTATATCCATTGTTTCTGTAACTCACATTAATATGGATTCTCCTGCTTTAAATGATTGTGCTATAAAACGTGCAGCAGACCACAACAAAATGGCGCTTATCATTTGACGGCACACCTGCAGGCTATTTAAACGGAACTTACTTGACGTCAGAATTAGGCGTACCCCTGAGGACGTGCATGTGCACGAAATGCATGGTGGAGCCTACGTGCTGACGGATCAGCGGCCATCTTGGTATGTCCGTCCATGATTTGTTTGTTTTTCCACATGGACTGTTTCGTGATGTTTTTAATATGGTTATTTTATAATGAAATACTACACTATATACTATACTCCAAGCTCTGTGTGGTGAGCATTTCCTTTTAGGCTCCTGGTTGTACCGAAAGCAGCTTTGTGAGAAATGGAGGTTCCCAACTGATTGAACTACAGGCTATTTAGTAAGTAGCCTTCTGGTGAGTGCATGGTGGTGAAGGAACTTGGACAGGACAAGAGCACTTTTATAGGATTCAACACTGTTGGGAATTTTTTTCGCTGGAGAGAACTTATAGGACTGTCACCTCGAAGGACTTTTGTTATATTATTGCACTTGGCACGGTTTATGTGATATCACTGATGTGTTCCTATTAGAAGGATTGTGTTATATTATTACACTTGGCACTTTAGTGAGCACTTTATATGTATTCATTCATTATATTTTACTTATTTATCTATTGACTCTGGTTGTTACATATTTATGTGTACTATTTTGACATATTGTTTATGCGCTGCACTGTTTTGATACAAGTCTTTATGGATAATGGCAGGACAGTAATATAGAAATATGTGATTCTAGTATTGATTTGCCTTGAAGGAACTATTTAAAGTAGACGACATGGAGGCCATTTGGTTTTTATGAAACAATTGCAATATTTGTTTCCCATAAAATATTGTTTTGAACTTTTTACATACTTCTTTGCATCTTGGTGTTGCTGATCTCACCCACTTCCTGTCTACATGCATTTGTTCCAGCATCAGCAACACATCTTTGTTGTGGGCCAGTTTCTTGATAGTGAGAACAGTGGCTATGTAGTATGTGTTGGCATGGCTGCTTATAGTCTCCACCAGGGGGTGCAAGTGACAAGGTGAGAAAATGGGGGGGGCGGGGAATAGTTTGGAAGCAGTTGTTACCTCATAATAGGAAAGACCCCTAGCAAGGACCGTCATGGCAGGATCATGGTATTATTTTAATGATAGCTGCAGCTTTAAAACATTAAAAATTACTGTTAAAATTACATTAACATGTAAAATCTTATATTAGAATTTAGTGACTGGGTTTAGATCTACAGTACTTTAAAGAGTTTCTCCATATAAGGGCTAAGTGACGAGAAGAACATTTTATAGTATAAATAAAAAGACATTTGGGACTGAGTTTCTACCTGATGAAAAGAAAGCCTTGTATTTTTTACTCATCAGAGGGTAGATTTAAAGAGGCTCTGTCACCGTAACATTTATAAGATACTAAAGTGCAGAACTATATGGAAAAAAAAAAACATATTTAGTTAAATCAAGTAAAATGTTGTTGTAATTCATCAAACCATATTTTTAATAACCACCCCAAAAAACACTGCAATATGTATGGTAGTGCAAATATACAAATATCTATTCATCAATATACATAAGTATATACAGTGGGGCAAAAAAGTATTTAGTCAGCCACCAATTGTGCAAGTTCTCCCACTTAAAAAGATGAGAGAGGCCTGTAATTGGCATCATAGGTAGACCTCAACTATGAGAGACAAAATGAGAAATAAAATCCAGACAATCACATTGGCTGATTTGGAAAGAATGTATTTGCAAATTATGGTGGAAAATAAGTATTTGGTCACCTAAAAACAAGCAAGATTTCTGTCTCTCACAGACCTGTACCTTCTTCTTTAAGAGGCTCCTCTGTCCTGCACTCATTACCTGTATCAACGGCACCTGTTTGAACTTGTTATCAGTATAAAAGACACCTGTCCACAACCTCAAACAGTCACACTCCAAACTCCACTATGGTGAAGATCAAAGAGCTGTCGAAGGACACCAGAAACAAAATTGTAGACCTGCACCAGGCTGGGAAGACTGAATCTGAAATAGGCAAGCAGCTTGGTGTGAACAAATCAACTGTGGGAGCAATAATTAGAAAATGGAAGACATACAAGACCACTGATAATCTCCCCCGATCTGGGGCTCCACGCAAGATCTCACCCCGTGGGGTCAAAATGATCACAAGAACGGTGAGCAAAAATCCCAGGACCACACGGGGGGACCTAGTGAATGACCTGCAGAGAGCTGGGACCAACGTAACAAAGGCTACCATCAGTAACACACTACGCCACCAGGGACTCAGATCCTGCAGTGCCAGACGTGTCCCCCTGCTTAAGCCAGTACATGTCCGGGCCTGTCTGAAGTTTGCTAGAGAGCATTTGGATGATCCAGAAGAGGATTGGGAGAATGTCATATGGTCAGATGAAACCAAAATAGAACTGTTAGGTAGAAACACAACTCGCTGTGTTTGGAGGAGAGAGAATGCTGAGTTGCATTCAAAGAACACCATACCTACTGTGAAGCATAGGGGTGGCAACATCATGCTTTGGGGCTGTTTCTCCGCAAAGGGACCAGGACGACTGATCCATGTACAGAATAGAATGAATGGGGCCATGTATTGTGAGATTTTGAGTGCAAACCTCCTTCCATCAGCAAGGGCATTGAAGATAAAACGTCTCTACATAATCTTTTGTGCAGCAGCCTGGAACGGAGGGAAGAGGAATATTATAGAGTGTCATTTAAGTAACAAATTTGAATCTACTGGGATTGCTGATATCATATCCAAGAGGGCAGCAGTATCAGGGCCTTCGGATGTCTGCAGAGGGAGGTGTTCACAGGCAAATAACATATAAAAATATGTAAAATGGTGTGGAGAGGGGCAGACATGCTGGGCCAGGACAGACAGTAATTAAACAATCCCAGAAGACGAGAGGGCTATGACGTGCAAGGAGAGAGGGGCTGTACTAGGGATTTGACCAGTAAAATTTATTAGCAAGTTCAAAAGGCACAAGATAATTAAAAAATTGTTTATGAAAAGGTTTTTTTGCTACATGTAACCATTTAAAATACTTAATTTTTCTCTGCTTTACATTTTTTTTTTTTAATTTGATGACAGGGTATCTTTAAGTAAAAGTCCTAA